TCTGACCATAGAATCTTCAAGACACAAGTAGCTAGTATTTATCAGAATTGCAGGAAAAATGATATTATTGAAGAAAATGATGAAATCTCCAAATTCTGATGTAACAGGAAAAAAAGAAACTACAGGATTGCTGAAGTTGTAGACACAAGATGCAAAGACAGAACTATTCTAAACTCATTCAATTGGTGTTATTGTTAAAAAGTACAGATACAAAATAGGTGATTACCTAAGTAATGAAAAGTTCTCAGTAAGGATTCGAAACGTATATAAGTTGAGCGGAAAATGATTGCCTTCAAGTAAGTAGAATTCTACTTTACCACGTCTGGCATCCTGTTTGAATTTGAGGATACGGGACGATTTCCAACGTATACATTACATCAACCTCGCCTGACTGACTAGTTCACCAGTAACTAGCCGGTCCTAACCCCGGGGAAACAGGAAAGGTTGGGCCTACGCCTAGCAACCATACCACAGAAAACAAATCCAAACGCCAAAAAAACTTCAAAGCACAAGCAAAATATAAAAAAGAAAAACAAATTTATTCTTCACCAGAATCGGAGAGGCGAAATGACGCCGGTTGGTGAAAGCCTGTCTCAGGGAAGCCAATTGGTCGATGTACCTTCTCTCCATCGATGGAAGCTAAAGTAAACCTGGAAACATGGAATGTCCGAACCATGTTTGAACCTAGCAAGGCTGTCCACGTTGCAAACGAGATGAGAAGTTATCACATTGAAGTGTTAGGAATTTGCGAGAGCAGATGTAATGGAATGAGAGTGGACTCTCCAAACTGTTAACTGGACAATCAATAATCTACTCCAATATCGTCACTCAGACGACAACCACGAGCACACTGAGTTTCGGAGTGACTATCATGATGTACCTCTCCCAAGAACATCGAAGGCTCTCATGCAGTGAGAACCGATCTCCTCCAGCATCATGACAGCAAGGTTCAACTCAGAAGGGACGCGAAGTCATAGTCGAACAATGCTACGCCACGCACCTACAAATAATGCAGATGAAGAGAAGAAGGAGGAATTCTACAGACAACTGCAATCAGCACTGGACAAGACCTCAGTTGGCGACATCAGAATTCTAATGGGTGACATGAATGTCAAACTAAGAGTGGACAACACAAGAAGAGAACCAACTGTGGGTTGAGAAGCGCTAGGTGAGGTGATGAATGAGAATAAAGAATTATTAACAGAATTTTGTGCATTCAACGATTTGGTGATTGGAGGCGAGGCACTGTGTTCAAGCAGAAGGATATCCACAGAGTGAGCGACATGGATTTCACCAGACACCAGGACACACTACACTGGAAATCAGATCGACTTCATCTGAATGTGAAGAGAGTGGGGACGCAGCCTACTTGACACAACATGAGGAAGGGGATAAGATGAATCTTCCAAATCAAGTTGAAAGCCTTCAAGGAAGCTGGTGATAGACCATAGTTCAAGTTGAACAACCACAACGGAGACTGAAGGACGAAAATACGAAGTGTGTCTTCGCGTCAGCCAGTCATCAAGACAAGATAGGAGATATCGAGGAACATCCCTGAAGAAACTTGTGTGGATAACACTAGAAGTCTTGTCTTTGAAAGAGATGTGGAAAGAAACCTGCATAACCGAATTAGGAAGGAAGAAGGAAGAAGATAAGGAATGGACTGGAGAGGAGAGGATGATAGTGAAGCAGAAGATAAAGCAGTGCAGTGCGAGGATGCTCAACGACAAGAAGAGAAATTAAGTACAATGTATAAAACAACACAGTGGACAAAGAAGTGAAGAAGAGTGCACGGAAAGATGAAAGACACCTCTACGACACACTGGCAAGTGAAGCAGAATAGGCTGGATGTAGGAGAGACAGAGACCTGACAACACTGTATCTAAATAACCAGGTTACTATCTGGGATGGAAGAAATCAACACAGATGAAACCAATAAAAGATGATGAAGGAAATCTAATAATGAAAGAAGAGGAAGAAGGGAAACGATGGGCTGACCACTTCAAACAACTCTTGAACCGACCACCAACACCATCTGCACTTCCTCCAGAAATACCACCTGCAGTTAAAACCACAGAACTACAAGTGGACACAAATCCTCCAGCAAAAGTGTCAGTCCTGAACGCCATGAAAGTACTGAAATGTGGGAAAGCAGCAGGACCAGATGGGATCCCACCAGAAGCACTGAGAGCAGACACAGAGACAACAGCAGACATGCTCACACCACACCACTATTGCAGAAGGTGTGGAAGGAAGAGAAGGTACCTGGCCATTGATTGGAAGAAGGGTTACCTTGTCAAACTCTCGAATAAGGGAGACCTCAGTGTTTGCAAGAACTAGCACGGAATCACTCTCCTGTCTACCCACAGCAAGCAAATTATTAAGCCGCATCATGCTTGGGAGATTAAGGGATGAACTGGATGCAAAACCATCACCGGAACAGGCAGGCTGGCTGGCATCAAGAAGTACAAATCATGTGCGGATCAAATTGCAACGCGATGCTATGCATCATCATAGAACAGAGTATAGAATGGCAGTCCACTCTACCTCTACCTCAACTTCATCGACTTAGAGAAGGCCTTCGACAGCGTCGACTGAGAAGTAATTTGGTCGGCAGCTGCTTCAACACTACAGTTTTGGTGCCACAAACCTTTATCAGTCTCATTTAACAACTATATGAAGACGCCACATGCCGAGTAATTCACAATGGTCAGTTCAGTGATGCTTTTGAAGTGAAAACAGGAAGGAGTAAAACGAGGTTGCCTACTATCCCCTATCATCTTCCTGATTGTGGTCGACTGGATCATGCAGCAAACAGTGGGATGCGAGAAGAGGGGGATACGCTGGCTGGACCCATGAAATGACCCGAGAAGTAGACTTGGATCTTGCCGATGACTTGTGTCTAGTGTCACACAAGCGTGAAGATCTACAAACAAAATCCAACAAGATGACAGAAGTGGCTTTAGTGAAGACGGGACCACCGTCAATTTAGTGTAGAGAAAATAGAGGTGATGAAGATACCCCATTAACAACAACAACAAACTCCAGTCACCATCAGCGGGAGAAACTAAAAGGAAGTATTCTCTTTCACCTATCTAGGAAGCGTCGTTTCCAACAAACTATATCCATTCATCAACAACTGCCTACGCTGGCTCGTTACTGAAGCTCAGATGGCCAGGAATAATAAGCAACAAGGAACTCTGGCCTGGAGACAAACTAACGAAGAAGCTTTCGCTGAACAAATATGCACTGGAAGGAAGTGGAGATGGATTGGGCATACACTGAGAAGGCCGACTGGGGACACCACGCAACAGGTCATGCAGTCAAGTGGAAGCCAGATGGGAAGCGACGAGTTGGGCGTCCGAGGTGAGGGTGATATGGAGGAGATAGTGCGAGGGGGAAATGAGAGCTTGTGGGCTGTCGTTGAGCCAGGTTCAAAAGATTTCAGAGAAGAGAGTGTAACGGAGACGTGCTACTGAAGCCTAATGTTCTATTAGGAACCCAAGGGACAAATAATTATAATATATTACATCAAACTATGAGGTTGATTTTCTTATTCAAAAGTCTACTCAACCCATCGTTTGTATCTCGATACATTTAAGGAAATGTTCTTAACCTATCACTTTACAAGTCGACGATGAAATAATGGAAAAACCCATGTTTTGATGACTGGATTAATAAGCGTGTAACTGCAAATCAGATTACTTATTTTGAAATAGGTAGCTTCGTCTACAGTGTTTCATTTTTACTGATTTTTCTCCTGCGGCTATGTTCATGGTGGCTCAACAAAGAGCCTAACAGCAGCTGGTCATAACATATTGTTGTATATAACATGGTTACTATTTACTTAATTTAGATGCCGTAATTATTTCATGTTTCAATATAGTATAAAAAGTAAATTTATTGAAATAATATAAGCTCAAGAATATATAAAGATAAAGATCTTCTGTGTTAGCCATCACGACTCCATCAGTACGACTCTTCAGACTTTTACTTATAAACTAACTTGCTATGTGTTATCAACATCCAGGCCATAGTTTTTACTAATATCTTGAAAGTTGAGCGCCGAGTCAGGTTGAATCATCATGTAGGTAAGTTTTTATATAACCCCAGCGTGTTTAGAAAATCGAAAACAAGATTTCGTTGTGTATGCCACCGCTTCTTCAGCAGAACATTCGGATTTTTATTTAACATCAAAATATATACTGTCAAAAAGTACATGTAGAAATTTCTGCAACGAGTAACATAAAAACAGAAATTTCTACATGTACTTTTTGACAGTATATATTTTGATGTTAAATAAAAATCCGAATATTCTGCTGAAGAAGCGGTGACATACACAACGAAAATCTTGTTTTCGATTTTCTAAACACGCTGGGATTATATAAATCTTACCTATAACTTGCTATATCTTGTCTACTAACCACTTCTAACCAACTAACATCTATCAACGTGTGCTAATATTTTGAGCCCACTGACTTGGCTAAATTGTGATTTGAACGACAAATTTAATCAGCACTCAGAGCTAAACAGCGTGAAACTGACTGATTCCCGCTCACCAATTATTGTATTTGGTCAAGTCCTATATGAGGTCAACAGCAGCCCCAATAGCTCAGTGGTAAAGTCGCTGATTGCCACGTTGGGTAACCGTGGTTTGAATGTCAGGGAGAACGTTAGTTCCCCTGAGATTGCAAATATTCTTTATTGACGAGCGCGGATCAGCCCGAAACCAAACTAAAATAGTGCCTCCTGTCGACTGCCTTCGAGCTATTGACGTGTTGTCTTAATATTTTCAGCTATGGTGCATATTATATATCTTTCAGTTTGTATTCGACAGTTTTTGCTGGAACTTCTTTTCATTTTGAAAGTTGTTTGAACTGAACAATCTACTATGACTACTTTGAATGCTTTCAGGCTTAGTACTATGACTTTCGCCGAATTAGACCACTTACTGAATAGAAAACTAATGCAAAAATCAAGTTAATTTCCCAATAACTTACATATAGAGATCTGACACTGACAGTAAGAATTTGTTCATTTTCATTTAGTTGTAATATCTGAATTAATCCCAAACCAAATGCTACAGTAATCTGCTGCACAGTAGTATTACCGACGATTAATTCCGGTGACATGCCATCCACAACGGGTCTTGCACGTTTTTCATAATCTCTCAATAAGTCTTTAATAAGACTTTTTTCAGTCCATTTATCTGTGTATTGTGACTCCAAAATCAATGGAAAATTCACTACAATGAAAATAGAAAACAGCAAACAGATTTAAAGTATTTCAGTTTTTTCCCAATAAGATTTATTTTAGTGTATATACGAAAGTTGAAAGTGCGGTTGACACACACGCACATCACAGATCTAGAGTATACTTTACATATTAGTGATTTCTGTCTGTTATAATCATTCGGTAATGTATATGTATCAATAAAACAATAAAGCTCAATAAATGCCTCCATACATTTATTTTTCTTTAACTGAGTCATATTTAAAGAGAAAATTTGCACAATTCCAAGTTGAAGGCATACGAAACAATTGATAAATAGTCTCTGGAACTATTGAGGTGACTTGACGGACTGATGACTTTTGGGAACTCTGGACTCTAAAAGTTCATACCAAAAGCGGATAAAAATCAAGCGATAAAACAGCTGTCTAACAATTAAATGCATTACATAATTAGATGTACAGAATAATCGCGATTCCCATTTGGGTAATTAACTTTTCCATTATAATCATAGTAACTAATAAAAGATTTGATATTTCATATAGCCTTAAGGATACTGCAAACCTGTGAAAACTATTTCGTGAAAAGCGTTTCTAACTCTGAGGTTTATTTCTCTTTAATTTTGAGGATATAAACCAAAAAACGATTGGAGGAAAAAGTGAGAAAATCACTACAACTCATTTCCAAAAGTTTAGGAGCTATTGTCAAAGAAGAGTTTATAACTATGACGCTCCCTGTTATATTGATAGTATAAGTGTAATGAATTCCTAAGAGGTTAATGTTATGGTGACTTTCTACTGAGGATAATCTGTGAATCTTAAGTTTAGTATTTAATTCATTTCATAAGTTTAACAAAATATTGAGTTGTACTTTAAGAAGCTTATCTATGCAGGCTTTTTCATACATTTCAGTAATAAAAAATGTATTTCATGCTATTCATTGCATAAAAATGAATTGAATTTCAAAATGCAGTTGAATTATACAGGTAGCGATCCTTGAAGCGAAGACTAAAAATTCTCAGGAAATCCTATAACACAGTTTTTCATGATTTCAGTTACGACTGATTATTCTTTTTCAGCAGTTAAGAACCTTACTGCATACTTCGTCACCAACACCGAATCTTCTGTCAGTAACACTAACTGCATTCTCAGTGTTTCAAATGATTTACTTTCTGGTATCTTGTGTTTATTGAACAACAGCTATTTTCTGGATACCTAAATTACTGATGCTAGATGGCGGGATGAGTTGTTTTGGTCAGTTGACAAATGGAGTCAAATGGAGAAAAGAAAAGGGTTAAGCGCTTTAAAGTGTTAGTTAACTCCCGGTAATCGGCAGTAACTCCTGCACCTAGACTCTAGGCTCGTCAACACTTGTCAGTGTGGCGTATTTGCATCCCAACTGGAACTTGTGTCTTCACAGAGGGTCAGTTTTGACTTGGATAGCTCTTAAACTGTGGGTGACACGGGTTCTAATCTTTCGAGAGAAATCACTTTCCTAGAAGTTTCAGATTCCCTTTGGTGATGGATGTCAGCAGAAATAAAACCTAGATCCATTGCTTCCTGTTGATAACCTCCAACCAAATTACAACAGTTAAAGCGCATCAAGATCGTGGATTTTCCAGCTTCTTTGCCAAAATGCAAAGTGACCGACACAATTTAGTCAGCACTTAGGACTAGACGACAACATGCAAAACTGATTCTCCCCAAGTGGATAATCAACGTTTAGTGGTGTATAGATTTAAGTGCTGAGGATTCCAAAAAGATTATCCCAGTGAGCAGATTGATAGAGAACAACAACAGGAACAATATATTTCTTAGATACCCCCTACTGAGACAAGTAAAGTTTTGTGAATTTCAGCATACTAACTGTTGATGAAAAGCAGACCAACGTTATTGCTGCGCTTAAAATGGAAAAGATGATACATCAAACTTGCAAGATGCTTCGGTAGACCGAAGCATTTGAAGGTGATATCCTGAAAGCTTAATTTTGAGCGTTAACATGGCTTCATATGGCACCTCAGTAACTAGTGGTTTAATTCAACAAAACAGGTAGTAATTTCTTTATTTTTCTGGCCATACTTACTACTGTCAGATGTTCAGAGTTGATCAGCTGAAAGCTCACGACCTGTGTTTTAGGTTTGTTGCATTCATTAGCAAGATGTGTTTACAACTTTGAAGAAACCGGTGTTCCCACATCAATTGGTGCTGAAGTGACAGACTGTACAGACAAGACAGTCAACTCATGACAGACCTTCCGTAGGAGTGGGTTGTGTGCATAACTCCATCACCACCGTGTAACCCATATTGTTGTTTAAACTGTTTTCCATCACTTACTCTAGTAGTTACTTTGTAAATTCGTTCGCTGAACTTCGGTTAAAACAGAACACATAAAACTAAGCAGCTGTCTTGGTCAACTACAGATGAACTGTTTGTGTGAAAAGTACTACTTTTGAGATGTACTACTGGTTTCCAACTTCATTTGATGTGAAGGTTTGAATATAAGACGCTTGGAACGTCATAATTTATGCATCGGTCAATTGTCTGTAGATTGTTTTTTCCACAACACAAAATAGCTGCCAAGAACCAACAATGATTACAGAGTACAACGGATCCATAGATGATAAACTTATCGTAAGGGTTAGTAAGTAGAAATCAAGCTGTCCAGCAACTACATCTGCAAACCCACAACATCTGATTTTCAAAGATATTTTTTTATTTTCCACAGCTTCTTATCTAAGATTGGTCATCATTTCTACTGTTTTTAGTTATTATTTTTTTTTGATACTTGTAATTCTCCGTTGTTATACTGGATCAAATTGGTCAATCTCTATTGGGATATAGGCTTTTGTGTAGATGCCTCGACATTCAGTGTCATAAATTAGTTGGTTTTGGCTAGCAGTGGAATCTAGGACTTACGTTTCTTCCTATTTAGGACTCTACAGATGAATGTACCTGCACTTCAGTGAGTGATATTGTTACCACTGAGACTCGAACTTCATACCCGTCGCCTCAAATGCACGGCATGATAGCCACCTCTTACACAACGAGTATCAGTCAATATCATTTATTGATTTTTGGTTGTTATACTAGATCGAGTTAAGCGACCTCGGTTGATAGACGGGTTCCTATGCAGGTGACTCGGAACTGCCCTGATATTGCTTTGGCATTTGAGACCATGTGTATGAGGTTCGAATCTGAATGGAAACAATGTGATTTACTTGGTTGCCGGTACATTTTTATTAGGTTTTTAAAAATTTTTAATCCTAGCAGTTTTGGTGACAAGATGTTATTGGAAATATCAAGAATGCTGAGCATGCTTACGCAAGGAAGAAACTACACACAACTGCTGTTGTACAGTTTCGAGGATAAAACACAAGAAAGAATTCTTTTTCAAACTGAACTGGCTATTTGTGCTGATAATAGCTGACTAAATAAATTGATTACAGTTCTTTCTCCCAAAATGTCTTAATTTAGCGACAGCGACAAATTTCAGTAATTAATGTAGATCAATTTACTTCAAAGTTTCTTACCAGCAGCTTACAACCTAGAACAATTTCCATATTAAAACTTACAGGGTTATGTAAGCACTTAAATCAATTTTATTCGAAATTTTGGCCTGAATCGAAGATAATACTTTTGTTGCGTGATGGCAATCACAAGAACTCAGTGAGTAAATAATAATAATGAGGTTTTTTTTACAGAAAGATTCTGAAGGCTAAGTTGGACAACATGTTGAGAATGAATGTACTCTACATACTGCGAAGGGTTACATGAAAATCTGGAAATAATGAGGAGGTAGGCAATCTAAATAAACAAGATGAATCAAGTTCAGAAAGTAAAGTCGAAAAGATAATAAAGGTGTATAATGCTCTATTTGGTGGCTAGCTGTGGAATCCAAGAGGCGCTTTTCGTTCTATTTAGAACTCGCCAGCTGAATCCCCTTCCATTCTGGTGAATGATGATGTTTACACTAAGACTCAAAGCCAGTACCCAGCTATTCAAACTCCAAAGAGTTATTCATCAGGCCACAGGAGCTGGTAATCGACTACTTTGCAACAAATATCAGTTAATGTCCGTTGGTACATGTAACTTCTCTTTGTTATACTGAGTCAAAATTATCAACCTCTGGAAGCAGACATGATCCTATATAAATGCTTGGATATGGTCGCCCTATTCTACTCAGTATAGCAACGGAAAACTACGAGTACCAATAAACAAAGGTGTTTGACTTTATAGTGTTAAACAAGTAAATCGTGACTATCAGAAATAAAAGGAAGATTATCATAGGAGGAAAGGAGGACACTTGCTTCTTTTTTGACGAACAAATCTAATCGTAACCATTTGTTTCCCCGTATACCAGCAAATTATAAATGTTCAACCATTTAATAATTTCTAGAGATATAAATTTGCTTATTACTTGAATATTATTAATTTTTAGGTTAGATGTGATTATATAAACATCGATATTTTTCCAGTTTATATATATCTGTATCTTTTATATCTCATTTTATTATCGTGTTTAATGTCCAACAGATTCCGTAGACAGAGGTAACTTACTTACTGTACAGTGCTTATAAACCTATTTTATGAATTATCAGAAATCCAAATATATCAATAAAAGGAGCGAATGGTATTATAGTTCACTACACTCAAGCCCTGATTTTAAAAGGCTTTCTCATTCGCAAAAAATTCAGTCCTCTAGAATTATGAAGAAACTTTGGTTCTAAGCCTTAAAAACAATACATTTCAGATTATGGTTTCCCTTATTTGTATCAGACAGTGTAAACAAAGAGCTATGCTGTAAAAGGTTGGATTACTTGAATGGAGAAGTGCAAGTTAAGTGCCTGCTGAATACTACCTTAAAAAAAAATCCCCATCAACTTCAAAATACAGAAGTTCATTTATTTTTTAAGTGAATGGAGATTTTTTAAATTTACAAGTAGTATTCATCATGGACTGACATCAGTTAGCGAACCATTGAAAACCTAGGAGCACTGGACAGCTGTTCCGTCCTAGT